GTTCCAGAATGCAACGTTCGAGCTCAACTTGAGCTCCAACGTAGAATGTTAGAACTACACAGACCTCCAACACTCAGCGGTGGAACTCATATGGGGCTCGAACACCCTGCGCCTCGACGACGCACCCCCGCCGCCGCTTCGCGCGCCCTCGCCGCCGCGCCAACCGGCGGCCGCCGCCGCGCGCGCGCGCCACTTTGCCGCGATGGTCCAACCCGAGCCCTCTCCATGCACCCAAGCCCACGACAACCCAAACCCCCCGCCCGACCCGCACCTCCGCGCGCCACGCGCGCGCCACGCCGTGGGGGGGCGCGCGGCAGCGACTGCCCGCGCGGGCGCGTGGCGCGCGAGCCGCGGAGAGGCAGGCGCGCGGGGGGCGCGTGGCAGAGGTCGGACTGCGCGCGGCGGGCGGGCTAGAGACGGCGCGGCACAGCGGTTCGCAGGGCGACGGGGACGGCGGCACTGGCGCGGTGCAGGTTCGTTGGGGGGGGGGCGGCGGTGGCGAGATGGAAGTGGGGCGGGCCGTCGCGCGGGCGAGGGAGCGCGCCCCCGACAGAAATCTGCTTGCCTTGCGCAATTCGCACGGAGCGCAATCGGCAATGAAGCTGCCCCGTTCAATCGATGCCCGCGCGTCTTCCAGTTTCGGCTTGGCAGCGGAGTTAGTGCCCATCGCCGAAGGCGCCAGCGCGCGCGACGCTTCGACTTCGCGCAAATGGCCATGTGCTTTGGGGGTGGGGAGCGGGCCCCGTTCAGACCCGACCCGTCGGCTCTATCGCGCCGCGCGAGCGGGCGCGGCGCAGCGGATGGACGCGGCGAGAGCTGGGGGGGAGGGGCGCAGCGAGGCATTCGCACATAGGGGGCGTGCGAATCGACGCGGTACGTCGCAAAACGCCAGCGCGCGGACCCCAGCGGCCATTGCGGCACTGGCACAGGCCACGAGGGTAGATGACATTGGCGTGGATGCGTGGCGCTGCGCGCAAAAGCGCTGGACGCATTGGCGCATGTGACGCGGAAGCAAACCGTGCTCCTGGGAAGCTCAACGCGAATTTACGGCAGGGCAGCGACGGGCAGGCGGCGCTGCGGAGTAGACGCGACGCGCGCGTCCTTTTAGAACTGAAGCAAAAATCCGACGGGTGAGGAGGGAATTTCGACCCCCTGGGGTAGATTGGAAAATTTCAGGACATTGTTTTAGTTGTGTTATGAATATAGGTACACAATGGAATTTGCACCAAACGTACGTAGCACAATTGGCTGTACAATTTTTGTACAATTCTTTTCCGTGGGCTTAAATGCCTTATTTTCCTCAGACAATTTTTGTACAATTGGTCGTACAATTTTTGTACAATTTACGTTTGAATTACGGTTAAATTACGTTTAAATTACGTTTGAATTACCTCCTTGAATAAGCCTCCGCATACGGATACGATTCGAATTACGGAGGTGGATTGTGTCCGTGCGTCGGTTTGCGTCCTGAATGCTCGGTGTCGCGACCGCGTCGCATGCACGTGACGTCGAATGGCGTGAGTTGGCGCGTTCAGCTCAATATTGTGCAATCCCCTGCATGGCGCCGCGTTGATAGCAGCGCGCAGCTGGTGCAGGAGCCCACTGGCTCAACGAATGACATTACACTTACACATAGCAAATGGCGGCGGGCCCGCCAACACTCGAACGCAAGCGCACGGCACAGCCGCGCGCTGAAGCGGGCACCCGCCCGCCAATCTACCACCCGAGAACGCGTCATCTATAAGAGCGCGAACGCGGCTGCAACCATTTCGCGTAGACGGCGCGCCCTGCGGCGCGTGCGCGCCGCTTTGGCTGCGGCGACCAACGTTGGATCGGGCGCGACACAAACGCCGCGCAAAGGCTCCTTCACTCTACGCCGCGGAGTGGCATTGCACAATGGGTAGCGCGGGTCGCGGGCAAGGGGGCATCGAGAACGCCGCAGTGCGGAGCTCCTGAACGCGCAGCGAATCTCGCCGCCCTTGTAAGCGCGATTCCGACGGCCCCGTGTCGCGCGCGCATTGGACCTGGCAAGTGCGTCGCCCGCGCGTGCGTCGGTGCAGGAGGACTGGCCGCCAATGGCGGGGTACGTCTGCATGTCAGAGACGTTGCGCAGAAGTGGGTCGGGGGAGAACGCAGCCCGCAACATTGCGAAACCAATCGGACCGCGCGCGGCGCGGTGGCCTGGGCGAGCAAATTGCGGAGCCGAACGCGCGCGCTCGGTCTGACAGACAACCGCCCGCCTGCCCATGCAGAAGACGCGTGCGCCCTGTCGCCTGCTGGACCGCGCGACGGCGCCCAGGCAGACTTGCCCGCCATTCCCCAGGCCCCTTCCCCAACGCCTTTCACGACCGAGCAGCGCCGCGCCTTTGCGCATCGCGACAGAGAAGATGCCGCATCGCGCGCTGCCGATAACCGCTGCCAGCGGCCAGCACAAGCCGCTGACGCGGGTGACGCATCTAGCGCATCGCATGTCTACGAGCGCCAGACCCCCCCCCCCCAAGACGCCTGCGTTCCTGCAAGGCCCATCGCGCGAGCAGGGCGTCTTCATTGCACTTGAATTCGCCAGCGCTGCCTGATTCGCGACGACGCCGCGCCCCCGCCGCGCGGGCAACAACAGCTCTGGTCCCACGACGCGGCCAATGGCGCCCGAACAACATGCCTTTGCCATCGCGCCAGCAAATCGCGACGCGCCCGCCATGGGCGCGCCGAGCGCGGCAGACGCGCAGTGCCTTGACGCTGCCGCAAGCGATCGCCCCAGTCAGCGGTCTGGTTCTTGGCGCCACGCGAGATGAAACGATCGCCGCGGACGAGGGCGCCAGCGCTGCGACCAGCCACGCCGCGCCGCGAATGAATGCATCAGTTCGCGCGCCCCTGTCGGCGATTCGGATTGACCCGAACAGGCCGCCGAAGCGCGCGATATGCGTTTCACGCAACAAAGGCGCGCATCGCAATGGATGTACATATCAAAGTACACTAAATCGTGCGACGCTGGTTCGAAATGCGTGACCACCAACGCGGCTGCCTATGTACAAGCGACATGCCGACTGCGCGCCGATGCAATCGTGACGACTCGAACGCCAGCGACGGCGATGCACCCTGGTACCCCACGTAACGCGCGAGCATCGTCCGTTTGTAATGCATGTCCAAGGTTGCAGCCATTGGTGTCCGTTCCTCCATCTCGCGTTGGTTGGCGTGAACCCCTTACGGTGCCGCGGGCTGCTAGCGTTGCGAAAGCTGTCGCGGCTGGGTGGTTTGCGCCGAAATGCTTGATCACCGCGCGTGCGTCGGCCCTGTGCTGTCTGCGCTGGACAACCGCATCGTGGCCGATCGCTTGACGAGGTCGCGCGAACGCACAGGAATGGCGGAGCTGAGTGCCAGGTTAGCTGCAAATGCCTCGATGTCATGGCCAGCGCTCCTTGTCCAATCTGAACGGAAACCAGCGATGTCCGCGGCAGTGGTAGACTTGCGTTGGGCGCGCGCGAAAGAACGTCCGCCCATCGCGTATAACTTGTTGCGGTCGCGCCAAAGGCATTCCGCGACTTGTATTCCGCTCCAGCGCCATCCGAACCATGCAAATACCAACAATGTTGGTCGTCCACGGTGCGCTCGTTGCATCGATCGGTACCGCCGTTTCCCTTAGCTATGCTATTCGACTGCCTACTGCCATGCACCGATGCTTCTACGTATTGGTAGCCGAACGGGCGCAAACCATAAACACTCGCACGGGTCTTCCCACGCCTACCGCGAAACAGTGAACTTTTATTTAGCAGCGCCCAGTGACATTGCTGTAGCGCTGCATGCGCGCTGCGTCGGCGTCCAACTCGTGGCCCGCGGCGGGCCGCTCAACACCCCCACTCCCGTTGCAACGCTGTGGGGGCACTTGGATGGGGGACGCTGGCATGGCGTTTGCTTCGGGTTAGCACCTCGCCTGTGCGATTGTGCGCCTTGCCGTCCCCTCACGAGCATATGTGTCATTGCAGGTACCTCTGCTGTCCTCTGCAACGGCATCCCCGCACCTGTCACGATCCCTGCGCGCGGCATGGTCCTAACGATTACAACAACTGTCGCTGTCACGCGCTGATGTAGCTTACGCGCATGACAACAACCATTGTTGTGACCGTGGCAACGTCAGCGTCGCGCTGTGGCCAGGCGCACCGCCCCGCCATTAAAAAAAACAAAAGGGAGTGGCCTTCCACAGGCGCCCACATCGCCAAGCGACGTGCCCTGTTGGCGCCCAGGGACCGCAAGGTTAACCCTGCGACCTCCGATGCGCCAACATTTAACTTGCCCACAAACCAATCAGGGACCTCCAAACACCGACGGCCCTCCAGCGGGTTTGCGTTTGGAGCTACGCAGCAAGAAACCGAGCGCAAACCATGTAACTAACATTTTGACTCACTGAGGCCGCGCGTGGAGAAAGAGAAACAGTCCGAAAGGGGCTCGGCTTGGCCCGTGCGAAAGGCCTGCAGGGTTTCCAAACATGTAGCCCGCGCCCCTCGAGGCACAACGAAAGAACAACACGTTGGCAGGGAATGGAGACAGGGCGGGGGGGCGGTATGCGGAGGAGGACGGCAACGAGGAACACGAGGAGGACACGCCAATCGGGAATCGAAGATGGAGGGGGAAAGGGAGAGGGAGGAGGAAGGAGAAACACAACACATGATGTTGTAGCAACGCCACCGCGCATATCAGGAACGGGGCTGGCCAGACCAAGTATTCAGCGCAGCTCATAATTGGCCGCAACAACACCGATGGGGATGGCGGAAATTGCCGCAGGCATGTTTTAAACACGACCCGAGCGGGCGGCGGAACGTGCCGCATGTATTATTTGAGTAGGGCGCCCTGTGCCCGACTGAGGAAGGCTGTCGGAGAGCGCAAGCACAGGATAACATAAGGAGGAATATGAAGAAGAGGAGGTGCATGACGGAGGAAATGATGGTGTTTTGATTTTGAATGGTGGTGATGATGATGGTGGTGGTAACTTCGCTGATTTACAGTGCTCAAGCGGGCTCTGGGCCCTCTCCGTCGCGCAGCGCCCGCTCGTGCCTGAGCAGGGTCTCCGCGTCAGGCAGCTGCTCTAATGCCTGGCGCGCCGCCGCGCGGTCCGCAAAGGCAGGCTGGCAGGCGTGCAAATGTAAAAACTTCGTTGGGAAAGCTGCGCACCTGCACTGGGCAAGCCGCGCCGCAATGAAACCCAATGGCCTACCCTGGGCCGCTCTGCGCCCAGGGCGCGCAGTCCGCGTGATCTGGCATCTGCCGTGCTCTTCGCGGTTGCTACAGTAACCATAGAAATCTCCACTCGCATGATAATACACGATGTAGCCGCCAGGCACATGCACCGTTGGATTCAACATATTCTTCGGCCCAGCAGGCCCCCCGCTGGGGCCTTCGCCGCCGCCGCCAAGGCCAGCGGGCGGAGGGCCCTCCTCCGGCGGTGGAGCAGGAGGCGGCGGCGGCGGCGGCGGCGGAGGCTCAGGATCATCGCCCTTGCTCTCGTCACCGCCTCCGCCCTCACCATCGAGCATGGCAGCAGGGTCGCCGTCGTCGCTGGTCGGGCTGTCCTCGGACTCCGACTCCGACCGATGCGGCGATGCTGCGCCGTCGCCGTCGGGCACCAGATCAGGCTCGCGGTCGGGTTCGCTGTCTAGCTCAGCAGCAGGCAAGTCTCCATCGGAAGGGTCAGAGCCGTCGTCGGGCGGGCGCTGCCCCCACGATGCCCGATTAGAGGCGCAACCCGACCGCGGCGGCCAGATCGTGCGCAGCAGCGCGCCAGACAGCGGAACCACTGTGATGCAGCTAGGAGTGACGGAGGCAACTGGGCGCATGTCGGACATCAGGACGAAATAAGTCACCATCCATTTGAAAGAACGATCCACACGATTCATGGCAACGACATCGTTCTCGAACTCCGCGCGAGGGCGAAGCGTGATCTCCTGCCCAGGAGCAACAACGCAGTCTGCATCAAAGGCCACACATGGACCGTCCATGATATGAAAAATTGCTTTGTGAGGCGAGATCTGTTGCTTGGCACTGTGACACCACCAATGGCTGACAACTTTCGGAGGCCCATCGGCGGGGTCTGCCACTCGCGAAGTGGCAACGAACACTGCGAATACTTTGGCGTCGGTCACCATCTCACGAGCGCCAGGGCGAAGCGATGGACTGAACTCTCTGCCCCAAGCCTTCTTGCGATAGTTCTCCCGCATTGTCCACCTCGCCAAGCCGTCACCGTGGCATAGGCACGTGCCATAGATAGAACAAACGGGCTTCTTGTCGCGATCTGGCAGAGGCTCGCTAGCTGCACCGCGCTGCACCACTTCGTGCGCTCGTACCCAATCACGCAGGATGGCATCATGCACGCCCTGGCCGAGGGGCGTGCGCCTGCTAAGGGCAATGATCTCCTTCGCCTTCTCAAGCAACTCAATTGGGCTGAACTCCCAGTGCGTGAAGAGCTCTGATAATGGAGGCGTTGGTACAAAGTCTGTCGCGGGCACGTCGAGGTCTGCAAGGCCAGGGAACCTCGAGCTGATGACGTCCAGTTGGCTGTTCATATACTCCTCGAGCCGCTTGGTGCGGGCAGCGCTCGCTGCCTTCTCTGACTTCCTAGCAGCCCTGGCAGTTGCCATCACATCTGTAACAGCATTCCAAGATGATAGTTCGAGCTCCGACCCTGGCGCAAACCTGACGAGAGCCCCAGATGCTCCTGCGCCACCGCTGTCTCCGAGGAGTGATGCAGCTCGCGCAGCGTCCTGGCGTTCAGCGCGCTGCCGCTGCCTCTTAGTTGGCCCAAAGGGCTGGTCAACGCCGTGCAGGCGATGACGAGCGGTTGCGTCCTGCCCCTTCTCCAGGAGATCTGCGAACCGCTCAGGCTCCTCAGTTCGAATGCGCTTGAGTTCGGCGTGCAGCTCGCCCATTGTCTTTGCAGGGCCAGGAAGCGAAAGCTGCTCGCTGAAAAAAGCCCTCTGGACGCCACCAGGCTTGCGCACCTTCCGCGGCGGTGCTGCCCTGCCAGACTCACGACCCTTCTTGGGAAAAAGCCCTCGTGAACCGCCTGGCCGAGTCACCTTCAATCGCCTGCGGAAGCCTTGGATAAGGCGACAAGCACTGATAAACTCATGTCGCGGGACGTGCGTCTGCACAGACAGACCGTGGAGCCATCGGCGAAGCGATGCGTGAGTTGCCTCAACTGGTGCTTGATCGCATATCGTCAAGAGAAGAACAGTTAACATCTCGACTGCCATGTCATTCGAGGTTAAGTTACCCGCATGGCGATCAAAGAAATCTGCACTCCAAGAGTCCTTCATGCCACGGCAGTCGGACTTGACCTCAGGGTGCGCAAACGTACGCACAAAAATGGTTGACTGGGTTCGAGGTGTGAGAGAGGGTGATGCTTAGGATGATGCAGGGAAGGAGTAAACGGAAGACCCCCCCGCATCTTGCCTCTTTTCTTCCAGAAGCCCTCCTCCATCCTTCTCGCCTTCATCCTCTCAGACCTCATCCACCTCCCCTTTCATCCAGCCTCCGTTTTTCCTATCTCCTCCAACGCTCCTATCCTTCAAGCTACCTTATCAAAGGCATGTTACTTCCCTCGGACCTCTTCTGCCAACGAAAGGTCCTCGAACAGCCTGGCCATCTTGTAGGGGTACCCCTGGTGGTGGTCAACCATGTAGTGCTGCACCTCAGCAGCGGCACGAGACAGAAGTCTGAAACAATCCTGTTGAACGTCTGCTCTGCGATATCCGTTCGGCACTGCCTCCCAAACATCCTTGGAGAAGAACAAATTCGAAAGTGAAACTATGCAGCGGTCCTCATACACGTTCTGAGCTGCAATGAGCATGCGGTAGCCTCTTTGACGAAGGTCACCGAAACCATCTGACTTGGATTTGTCGAAGTGTTTCTCTCGCTCCAGGAATTCCCAAGCTGACCCCGACAACGTCAAAAGATCTTTCAGAAGCACGCGAAGTGGCTCCATCGTGACCCGCAGCGCGATGACAACGGCATGCGGTGATTCGTATAACAACCATCTCGCAGCAAACTCCCTCTGGTGGTTGTTCTCCTTCTCATGGTTTTGAATGCCGTTGGCGGCGTGCGATTGGTCATGCCCCTCGTCCTTCTCATCCTCAGGCTTGCCCGCATCGTCGACGACAGGCCGTGCGTCCAGGATGGCTGGGGCCGCGACCGCACCTCCTCCAGCAGCAGGCAGCAACGATTTCGGGACAGCACCTCTGTTCATGATGATGGTAAATCTGAGGAAAGCGGGCATGCCAAGCCCATGTACGCCATCCAGGATACCGAGAGAATCAAGAGTCAAATCAGCACCAGTCCACCTGGATCTCGGAAATATGTTGGGAGCAGAGCCACATAGAGCTTTCACGAGATATGAAAGAAACCAATGTCGCACGTCCTTCTCCTCTCTGGGATCTCCCATGGTCCAGTGTTCAACAACATCCGTATTCTCCCAGTTACCATTAGCAAGAAAATACAGCACTGCCCTGCGCCCGAGGTTGTGCTTACCACTGCAGAAACACTCAAGGACAGCACGCTGATGGACGCGATACCACGGAGGAGGTACACCATCTATGATACGCAACTTCTCATCAATGATGTCTCGGACGACCTGCCGAAAAATCCTCATTGCACCAGGCTGGTTGAGAGCAAGACTCCAGTTGACGATGGCAGACACATCAGCATCATGAAGCTTAGCAACGTTTTTATTACCATTAGCCCACCTATGAGAATGGCATGTGGTATGCAACGTAGGGTACCCATTGAGTATCGCAGTGCATTCTTCAGCTTTTCTCACGGCACTATCACCATCAGTGCAAGATAATCGAAGAGCCCTCTGAAATCCGCAGCAAAGACTTTTGGCATTAATTCGGCTACTGTCTGGTCATCTGGCTTCCCCTCTCAAGCCAAGGGCTGACCCAACTGGATCCCCAGGAGCCCTTCGGGAACCCCAGCAGGCCCATGTGAGCGCTCCGTATCTTACCGCTACTCCCCGAATGAGTGTTCGGTGCCTAGAAGCCTTTAACCAACCTTGAGACAGCGTTTGGCCCAAGAAAGGAGCGCGCGAAACCACCCGCTCCCAGAGCCCCCACCCTAACACGCCCCCAGCGCTGAGAAACCTGAAGAGGCCCCGCGACATTCCCAGGGAGCTCCCAAACGCCCTCAGCAACCATCAGGCTGACCCTAGAAGAATCCAAGATACCCCCAAACAGTACCAGGAGACATCAGCCCTAGCTTCAGGAGCACCTCCAGAGAACTCAGGGGACATGCCAGAGAACACCCGAAATCACGACCCTTCCGCGCTGGCACGGTAGCGGACTCGGCCGAAGGCAATGATATAATTTTTCGCACGGTCCCAAGTCAGGCTCAGTTCGAGAAAGTGCCTCCACATAAGCTTCTGCCGACGTCGACGCCAAGGCCTGCACTGGGGTGAAAACATCGAAACTCACCAACACATACTCACCAGAATGCATGCGGAATAACGCTGAGACTCGCCACTCGGATTGAAGCAATTTCGCAGGCACCGCATCGTACGACTCCATCTTCAAGAAATCTGCCAAGAACTTGGGGATGTCGGTGGAAGTCGCAGCAGCATCTACAAGTGCCCCAGACTTTGATGACGTGTTCGAATCCTTCACATTGATTCTCATCGGGGTCTCGTCGTAACGAACCTGCTTCACAAGAATAACGGGCTGACCTCCATCTCGAGTCACAGTTCTTATCATATGTTCGAGAAGTGATGTGTGCATATATGCCTGCAAAGCGAGACCAGCGGCTGCCAGTTGGATACGTCGAACAGACGGCAGCTGCTTGTACACGCCCATCCTACTCGCGAGCGCAACTGAGCTCATGAGAAACTGTTCACCATATAATATGTCATTGCCATGATCAACAATGTCACTGACAAGCTTCTTAGGATTACGAATCGCAGCCAAACCAACACTGATCTGATGAGTCAAATTGCCAATTGGTCCTGCAATGGCGACTGCAACATCATCGTGAGCAACGCTAGAACTACCAACACCATCGTGAGCAACAATACCGTGAGCAACACTATCGGCACCTGCACGGACGTCGCCATCGCGATCCAGATCTGCGTCTTCTGGTTCTGGCGTCGGGAGCCCAAACAGGCCGCCACCATAATCGATTAGGCCATGAGGATCGAGGCCGTCACCATCAACATCGCCGAGAGAAGCCGTGACCTCGTCGGGATCGGGGCCGTCACCATCAGCATCGCCGAGAGACGCGTGACTAGACCAAGACCGTCGAGCTTTGGCCAGCTCCGAGGAAGCCCACGTAGTCCTGCGATGTTGCCAGGATGAAACGGCCGTGCCCCAAGATCGCCTCCGAGCGTCACTCTCGCAGTGAGCGCCATCCGGCTTGTGGCCCCAAGACTTTCTCATCAAGGAGGTTGCACAGCACGGGGAATAGAATGTCTCACATGGAAGACGGAGCGCGGCACTGAGCGGAATCAGCGTCGCAAAGTGGAGAAACACATTGAACGTGCTCATCCACTGGTGTACATGGAAAGCGCCGCAGCGCGAAGATATGGAAATCGCTGGAATCGGGATCACCGAAACATCATTGGAGTCGCAACTCGAAGGCCGCTTTGAGCCACAATGCCAAAACGATCACAAACAAATTGCCACTCGAACACGGGACGTCATGATATTAAGCGTTATTCCCCTCACCAGGTTCTTACAACATATCCTTGAAACACATCAGCGTGAACAAATCGACATCTGAACGGTGCCTAAGCTGCATTCGAAGGACAAGTGATTTCAGGACACAGGAGCAGAGACGACTGCGAAGCGAACAATAACACAATGACTCCGTGACAATTTAACACTACTTGGCGAACGAACCTTGGCGAGGCGCCCCCAGTCGCCCTTGCGCCCGTGGCAGCCCTGACAGCGCGGTTCCCTCTCTGAGGGCCGACGCTTTAGCAGGACCGCCACGGACACAATTGGACCAGGAACGCCAAACACCAGGGACGCCCGATTGCTTTCTAGCGGAGGGGGGGCGGGAACGTTTGGCGTTGCTCTTGGGGAACCTAGACGCGCCAAGACGACCGCAGCCCCAGCCTTTGTTTTTGTACACATGGAAAACATTTGACAGGCCCTGCCCCGTGCTAGTGGACCTAGATCACAGTGGTTATGCTACGTTAGCTTCCCCCTCCTCTCCCTCCTCCCCCCTCTCCTCCCCCTCCTCCTCGCCAAAAGAAAAAAAAGACAAAACGCAAAAAGAGTACTTCCCTGGGCAAACCAGAATCCGCGTCCTTGCCGTTGTGGCCGCGCATTTTGTTACGTGTTGAGGAGACAGGCGCGCCGCATAATGGTCACGGCCCATCCTCTTCCACCCCGCGCCCACCGCGGCCACAATAAACTGACCCTGCCGCGCGCCCGCCCAGCCCGACCACCTTGTCCTTCCCGCAGACTTCCCACCGACAGACATGCGCCCCCTGACGCTTACACGCACGCGCGACCCCACGCGCGCACGCACGCGCAAACGCGCGCATGCACGCAACCGCCATGCATAACAACGCCTATACCACACACCACAACCACGCGAGCACCCCCACGGCCGCCACAGCGATCCCCCCGCCACCCAAAGACGCGCGCCACCCCGTACAACCAACGCGCACTACTCGCGCCCCATCCACCCCGCCCCCCCGACACACACCCCACTGCAAAGGATGCTTTCCTCTACTCAGAAACCCCACCCACCCTGATCAAACGACGCCCAACTTGCTGTGCCGCGGCGCGCGCCCATTACGCGGGGCGTCGGCCCCGCGCAACGCGAACCCGCTAGTCATTTATAATGACAAGCTAACGTTACGTAGCGTCTAAATATCCGATGTTGGCCGATCTCAAGCGCGACCTCTGGCATCAAACGCGAAACGCTGATGGTTCAATACGCGTCATACACTAATAATGCAACGTTAAGCGCTTCCCTCCATGATGGGCGCTGCGACCTCGCG